TTTATCATATTAAACTGTGCTTTAATATAAACCTAACTACACTGCTTGGGGTTTAGTGTTGTCCGCTCAAACAGGAAGTCAGAAACTTACTGGATTTCTGGCATTTTGAAAGAGACAAAGCATGGAGAAATGTGCGTGTATTGCAGTTACTTGCACTTACTTGCCCTTACTTGCACTGTAAGTCAGTGGGTCAGATATTGGGATGAAATATATTTCTGTAGCATTGCAGCGTTCATGGATCCGGCAGTCAGCGGCTCCCCCCATATCCGTTCCCGGGACGTCCTCCGGTCCTTCCCATCCACACAGCTGTGGACTCGGCAGCTGTTGGCAGGATGAGTTTCGCGGACATCATCGCTGTGGTTACCGGTTTAATGTTGAAAGTGATCCTAGCACAACTGTTAATGTCTTTACCCTTCTTGACCTATCGCCCATTAACCTCATCCCTGCTGGATGACATCGTGCACTATCGAGACAAATCTGATTCACTGTGTGTATATATGTATTATATATATATATATAGTTTGGAGTGGTTTGCAGCGTGACAATATGAATGCAACATGAAACATGGTCAGAAGAGTAAACTTAGACTTTAAACGTGATCCGATAAAAACTCGATTCCCCGCCTTTGGCTTGGCACATGGCTTCCAAAGGTGGGGTACAGAAGCATTCCTTAAATCTGAACTCCAGGGAACTAAAAAAAACTAACTTTGCAGTGTGCTTCAAGGGGTTAAATACTTGTTTTTGCCTAGGGTACTTACCTTACCCCTCGCTCCCCCTGGCAGCCGACACTCTCCTCTTCTCTGACGCACCATGGCATCCTCATAAAAAACACAGGACTGCTGGTCCTGCACCTTAAACAATGACGCCGCAGCCGTGACAGTTGGCCAGCAAAAAGAGGATTTTGGGGGGCCGGTCCCATGGAAGGAGGAGCCTGCGGGAGCGAGGGATAAGACAGGTAAAAAAGTGCTTTAAACTGGTACCCGAGGCAAAAAAACATGCATTTAACTGATAAGCTTAAAAATGTAAAAAAGTAAAAGAAATAAAAAAGAAAAAAAAGTTTAAAAGAAAAAAGAATTAAAAAAAAAACGAACCCTGCCGCCCCTGCCATTCTCCATTGATGGCGGGCGGGGGGTTGCATTGCGGAACCTAGCCTTGGGACAGCAGGGAGAGTAAATCCGGCCCTGTACACCATCGTCCTAAATCTCTGCGCCAGCTGCACACGGCGCGCCCCTTTATCCCCATTCTGGTGGAGCTCTCCCTTTACAGCCCAGCAGCAGAAATCACCATTTGCAGCCAACGCGACGCAGAGGAAAAAAACAAAAAACAAAAGAAGAAAGCTGAATTGCAAATCAATTTTTCGGGGGAAAATAATGGCCGAATTAAAGCGGCAGAATGATTTCTATAAAAAATAATTATAGCTTTAAAAGGCAAACAATTAGCATAGCACATTACAGGCATAACAGCCGATACGTTTATGATCCCGCTTTGGCACGCTGACTTACTCCAGAATCTGTTACAGTGGAAAAATGACTGAGCGAAGCGGCCTTTTAATGATGCAATATGTGGAATATCTTGGCACCGAGCTCCCAGGCAAGGAGGGGGAGGGTCAAAGCACTGAAACTGGAGGCCGGCAAATGAGACGTAGAACAAGCGGCTCCGGTTACAAGGGCCCCCCCCCACTCCACTGCCCCCCCTGTGCAAGTCCGAGTTCTGGCCACAAAGGCAAGAAGTCCCCAAAGGTCACCGGCAAGTGATTCCTGTGCATGTGAAACACAACAGAACACACTTCACCCACCTCAAAGAGGCCGCGGCCCACGGGGAACAGCCTCCGGAGGACTTGAAAGATTTGCTCGCCGTCTGTCAGGAACGGCATCCAACAAAGGGCGAAAGTGCCAACGACGGTCGCTCCGATCTTGAGCAGGTAGAGGAACCTGAAGAAAAAAAAAAGGGAAAATGGAACGCTTGAGATAATAGGCGGCGGGGGATTTCTCAGATTCAAAAGGAGCGCTTTCTTTTTAAAGACTTCCAGTGATAACCTGTGACGAGACGTCTCCATTAAATGGATAAGTGGCAGAAAGCACAGTGGGGGACGGGCCCTGTAAAAGCGCTGCAGAGACAAGCTAAAGTGACAATTGCTGGTAATGAAGTGGGCCTGTCACAAAAAACAAACAAAAGCATAATAACACAGTCCGGGTTAATACAACAAAATTTAATACCACTTCGTGTCTAGAGTAATTTTTTTAAATGTTTGCACACGTGTTAAAATCTAAATTTTTGGCTAAAAAACGGCACCGTAGGATAAAAAAATAAAAAAAATGCTAGTTGCAATTTTTATTGTCGCATGATATTGGAAAAATGTATATCAAATGTATCAGTTTAGGAAAGAAATACACTCGGGAATTTTAGTGCACACCAACGCAATACTCCATTTTTTGGGTAAAATATTAAAAAAAGGGGGTTGTGTCAGGTAAACATCTCAAGCCGTAAAATTGAGCATGCCCATGAAATAGCAAAAAAATAAAAATAAATACCAGTACCTAGAATTGCCCAAAGGTAGGTCTGTTCCTTTAAAAAGGAGAACTATGGGGGTCAGGGCTTTTCCCCATAGTTCTCCTTAGGGTAACAGGAGAACACAAACTAGCGTCCTCCCGTCACCCTAGGCTCAGTATATAGGTAGCTACAGCTCACGGTATACTGAGATGCCACACCCGGAGCGGATCCCGACAATTATGTCTGGATCCACCCAGCTGCGTGATTGACAGCTGGCTCTGCCTATCTAGAGGCAGAGCCAGCTGTACCCGCCCCCTCCCCTGTCCGTTCCGCCAGTCTACACAGGAGGATCGGTAGCGGGTTGGGGTGGAATCCCTGCAGGGAGCCGTGACTGTCACTCACGGCTGTCTGTGCGGATAGATCGAAAAGGTGATCGAGCGCCGTTATGTGTTAGCTCACTTCCCGATATACTGAGCCGACCTGTGACAGTTTCATTGTCACACGTCGGCTCAGATTTCTCCTTTAATGAGGCATACTGAGGCTGATGCCTCAGGCGGGATCTCTTTGGGTCACATGGGGGGGTGGCAGGCGGAGCGGCGTCTTTGTTGTATATTGGCCGGTCTGCTGTACAATGTTTGCAGTGTCCCTGCAGCCCCTCTCCGGGCAAAGTGTGACAGGTCGATAGAAGCCGGGTAGGCGATATGTAATGGCCATGCCCATCTCCCCACCCAGCCCTTAGCAATCTGGAACGCTCTTGACGTCGTCCCACCAAGTTCCTGGTAACCAGTGACATCACTGGTTGCTAGGAGCTGGGCGGGATGCTGGCCACCACCCCTACAGCCACCCGCCTCAGGCCATCAAAAGTTAGGGAAACTACTGCCCATTGTGACCTTTTGAAAGATGTTACCGCTCATCAATTTAGAGTTACCCATGAGTGAAGGCCATAGAATTATTGCTTTCACTCCAATGCTTGCAGTGATATGCAACATGTGTGGCACAATCGTGGTGAAGGGCTTTAAATTTTGTTTTTATATGTTCTTTTTTGATTTTTACACTTAATTTTATTGCAAAAAGGGATCATGTGACTGCTGTGACAGCCACATGATTGGAAAGCCTGCCTCCACCTCCCATCATTCAGAACCCCTTAAAGGGCCAGCATAAAGTGACAACGCTGTAATGCATATCATGTCAGAAGGAATGGCGTTGTCACACTGTTAAGGGAAGTGGAAAAATCAACAGATCTACTGGCAGGATCAGCCGGTGCTAAATGAGGTTACAGGGGGACCCCCCAAATAAAAACGCCTGGGTTCATGTTGCTGACAGACTGTAGCATATAGGTCATATGTTTGCTTTCTGCCCAGAGTTCCACAAACAGACAAATCTTTTCAGGGCAACACAGACAGTTTCTGAGCAAGACCTCAGATTCAGTGCTGGACTAATGTCCTTTAGCACCCCAGGCAAAAAAGGCCAAAGTGTGCCCCCATCAAGGTGCTTTCCCAGGGGCTGTGCACTGCCTAAAGCAGCATAGGCCGTAGCTTCTGCCCTTTTGCACTCCCCTTCTGGAAAAGCACCCATGCCGGTTTCCTCTCCTGCCTACCCCTCAACCCGGCTCAGAATCAATACTACTTACCCCCAGCCTATAATTCCCTTCCGGAAACTCTTCCCCAGGAGATAGCAGAAGAACGGCAGGGAGTGGTACAGCTCCATCTGTTTGTAGTTTAACGCAAAGCAAAATGCCAGCGAGCCCAGCGCATCCCATCCGCGCGAGAGAGCGATGACCCCCCACAAGGCCAAACCCAGACTCACAGAGTTATATGTGTGTTTGTGTTAAGGGAAGCAAAGGCCAAAGTTATTTGGGGGAAAAGACACTTTATTCTTAGGACCTTATGATTGTAATAACTATAGATGGCAACCAAAACCATTCAGGAAACTGCTTTTTAGGCAATATTACTACTGATCTTAAAAGGAGAACTATGAGGTGAGTGCTTTTCACTCACCTCATAGTTCTAGCCGACCTGTGACAATGAGACTGTCACAGGTCGGCTCAGTAGATCGGGAGGTGAGCGAACACATACCGGCGTTCGCTCACCTCTCGATCCTGTCACGGCTCTCTGCCGTGACAGGGGAGGGGCTGGATTCCCCCCTCCCCGCTCCAATCCGCCACCGCTGACTGGCAGAACGGACGGGGGAGGGGGCGGGTACAGCTGGCTCTGCCTCTAGATAGGCAGAGCCAGCTGTCACTCACGCAGCTGGGCAGATCTTGACATCGATGTCGGGATCCGCTCCGGCGTCTCAGTATCTTGACCTTAAATACTGAGCTTAGGGTGACGGGAGGACGCTAGTTTGTGTCCTCCCGTTACCCTAAGGAGAACTATGGGGAAAAGCCCTGACCCCATTGTTCTCCTTTAAGAGAATGCGCCCCCCCCATTACAATAACCTGGGTTTTCTACTATTGAATCATGACCCCATGCAGGCTGATTCAGCAGTACTTCTGTGCAGGACTGCAGCCTCTTCCCAGTCACTGAGTACTACACTGCCTTCCTCTACGAGAACTACATTTACCTCCACTCGGATCTTAGAAAGCGTCCATCAAATTCAACCTCAACATACAAAAAATGCTGTTGCTGATCCCTCGATGTAAAAAAGCTATTTGCCTGCCGATCCAATGACTTGTTCAGTTACCGAGTCATCTACTGGGAGAGACTTTGTTGCTGCATGGGTTTTTTTTGTTTCCTGGGTCAGTGACTAAAGCCAGAAACAGCCAGGCAAATAAAATTTTCAGCAGATCAGCAAGGCCAGACCTCATGATTGGTACTGTACAGATTTCCACAAATTATAAGAGAGATTGCTTTTGTATTACCAGTACAGCGGTACCTCGGTTCATGAACTTAATTCGTTCCACAATTCTGGTCGCAAACTGCATTGGTCGCGAACCGAATCAAATTTCCCCATAAGGTTCAATGTTAATTAGGTAAATCTGTTCTGAACCATGTGTAAATTCATTACCTCTCTGCACGTTCTTGTCACCTTCATAACCGCTCTGCACGTTCTTTTTACCACCATGATTGCTCTGCACTTTCTTTGGAGTCATGCTGGATTGAATAATACTGTACAGTACTGTATGTGCTAATAAGCACACAAAAAAGCTTCTCAACAAGTGTGCACAGGTCTGTCTGCGACCGCGATCTCGATTAGAGGAAGGCGCGACCACTTGTCAGAGCAGGAAAGATGGCCGCGGTCGTGTTAGTCACCTGATTTGGAGTTCGCGATCAGAAGCAAAATTTTGCTGAACTTCCTGTTCGCGAACTGAAGTATTTCTGAAGCTGAATTCCAGACATATTTAAATAGATAGATAGATAGATCTATATACAGATCTATCTATCCATCTATATATCTATCTATATATGATCTGTTTTACCTGCAAGGGATTTGTGTTGGAGATTTTCCAGCTGTCGCATTGCAAAGAAGCGTCGTGCAGGAGAGGAGACCTGACTTTTCCCTGCTGCAGTTAAGTAACACTTACAGGTCTTGTCCTTCCCCCAGTTTGTGAATGGACAGTGAAAAGAGACACAGCAGATCAATGAGATAATCTCTGTCACTCTGCTCTCACCTCCTACAACCATGTCCTGAGCACATTATCACCCTTATGGCTCCTTGTGAAGCTTCTGCCTCCCAGTCTGAGCTCTGATCTACAGGGACTGCTAGAGGCTGATACCAAGTAAAATTCAGGTACTTACACTGCTTTAAAAATACATCAAATAATGTATTAATTAATTCAGAGCTGCAATGATTTGTGCCTTTTTTATTTCCCTGGAGGTCAGCTACAAAAAGCACAATGCTAATGTACAACCAATCAGGGCATTAGACCATTAAAGTGACACAAAACTCGGGAGTTTTGCATGCATTCCAGCACCTTAAGGCCTGGGTCACACCTGGGCGTTTCACAGCGCGTTCCTACGCTCTGTAAAACGCTCAACATGTGAAAACCAATGATTGCCTATGGGTATGGTTCCCACCTGGGCGTTTTACAGCACTGCAAAACGCCCTACGCCCAAAGAAGTACAGGAGCTTCTTTGGGGCGTATTTGCCACGCGCATCCATTGCGATACAGCCAGGTAGCCCTCGCAGACGCGCGTTTGTCGCGTGTTTTCTTTACCGCGAATCGCAGTAAAAACGCACAGCACGAAACGCACGACAAACGCGCATATTCAATACGCCTAGGTGTGAACCCAGCCTAACTATTACCAACAATGTATCTTATTTGTGTATCACTCGGCTGTAGATCCTCCAATCATCTTTGAATTGGTGCCGACACTGTCCTTCCTTCTGGAGGGGGGCTACTTATGTTCCCCATGGTCCCTGTGTGTGTTGTAAAGTAGTCACCGCTCCAAGCTTGCTCCCAGCATGGACTACAGAGAGTAATACAGGGGCTGCCATTGCTGATCTCCATCTTTAATGGTGATCCTCAGGCTTATAACTTTTCGGTCACTGGCCTGGCACAAGTGTGCAGAAGAGGAAAGTCAAACAAAAGTCCTTCTCTGCATAATGTTTCCAGGGCAAGAACTTAAGAATGATGGATTACAATCTCATGTTTAGTTTACAGATTTGTACTGAGATTGTAGTCCATCCCGGGAGCGAGCTTGGAGCGGTGACTACTTTACAACACACACAGGGACCATGGGGAACAGACGTAGCCCCCCTCCAGAAGGAAGGACAGTGCCAGCACCAATTCAGAGATGATTGGAGGATCTACAGCCGAGTGATACACAAATAAGATAAATTTTTACTAATAGTTAAAAAAGGTACTTGAACATATTTTTAGGATTTAACTCCTGAGTTTAGTGTCACTTTAATAAGACTAGACTGACTGCAGCCAACCAGAACACTAAAATGTCTACTGATAACTCAGGCAGGTCAAATCAGAGCCATTTGCTCTCTACAAAGGTACAGTAGATGATGGTGATGGGAAAAGCAGTGGATGCATGAAATATTGAAACCTTATATGAAAAAGGAACAATTCATACACATGCAATAGAAGGATACTGAAAATGCCCGTAGTCTACGAGGATAAGGCCGGGATAGAGGAGAATGCACAGCAGAGACATCATCTGAAATGAAGAAAAAAAAAGAAAAAAAAACATGAATCTGGGACATAGTCATACGTTTTAGGGAATCAGGAAAACGCTGGAAGAAGTCAAATAGCATGAGCTCTGCAATTCATTTCCTAATGTAGCACATTTTTAGTGAGTGCATTTTTGGGTTACCATGAAGACATTATTGACATGACTTTCACATTTGTTCATAAGCACTCTTCCATATATTTATTTTGTATTAGATATGCAGGTTAGCGAGGATCTCTCCCTAGCTCAGTGCAATTACTCAGGCTTTTACCAAGCTGATGAATCTCACTAAAAAGGTGCCCATACACCTGCCGATTATCATACGATAATCGGCAGGTGTATGCAAGGCGTGCGACCGTTTCTACTGTGCGGTTGCACGTCTTTTGTCTTTCGTGCACGCTTGAAAACCTCCCGATGATTATAAGATCTTCGGCGGGTTAGTGGCGTGCTCGGAAGACAAATGCCGAACGGGCCGGTGTGCGCAAGTGCACACTCCCCGCTCAGCATTGGTATCATCGGAAAGCCCTCCCCTCAGCGGGGCGAGCTTGCGATGATCGCAAGTACGATCTGCCTGTCCAAGATGGGCAGATCGTACGAGATTTTAATTACCTTACAAACCATCGCATAACGAAATTCGTGCGATGGTTGTAAGGTGTATGGCCAGCTTAAAAGGAGAACTATGGGGTCAGGGCTTTTCCCCATAGTTCTCCTTAGGGTAACGGGAGGACACAAACTAGCGTTCCTCCCGTCACCCTAGGCTCAGTATACCGCGAGCTACAGCTCGCGGTATACTGAGACGCCGCAGCCGGAGCGGATCCCAACATCGATGCCAAGATCCGCCCAGCTGCGTGAGTGACAGCTGGCTCTGCCTATCTAGAGGCAGAGCCAGCTGTACCCGCCCCCTTCCCCCGTCCGATCCGCCAGTCAGCGCTGGCGGATTGGAGCGGGGAGGGGGGAAAATCGAGCCACTCCCCTGTCACGGCAGAGAGCCGTGACAGGATCAAGAGGTGAGCGAACGCCGGTATGTGTTCGCTCACCTCCGATCTACTGAGCCGACCTGTGACAGTCTCATTGTCACAGGTCTGCTAGAACTATGAGGTGAGTGAAGAGCACCCACCTCATAGTTCTCCTTTAAAGCTTGCCAACAGCTTGTTTAACACTGAACTCCAACCTTACCTTATTATCCCCCATACCTGGAGCAAGTCCCTTCCTGTGCTGAAAGTGATCACTCTCTATTCCCTGCAAACTTGTATCTGCACAATAGAAATCTTTCGAAGCTGCAGCAGCTATCTTCAGCCCACCTTTATTTCCTGTCTGAACAACTTTAATCATCAGTCGCTTCTCCTCCGGATCTGTACTGTCATTGTCCTACTCTCACAGCCGCTAGCTTTTTCTCCTATCAATTCTTTTTTCTCTTCGTCGTGTGCGTGCTTGATTTTTAGGGTTGGCATCAGTGACTGTACTGCTGTTCCTAAACACATCCCTGTCATTTCTTTAGACGTGCGTGCTGAAGTGCTGCAGCCGTTATCTATGCAATCTCCTGATCAGTCGCTTGATTACATTTTAATGGTCAGCATATAGCACATCTAAAGTCTGCACCACCTAGTCACCAGCAGGTATGCACGTCTAAAGACGAGCTGGGGATGAGTTCTTTCATATAACACTTGAGGCAGGGTGAGATGACGTCTACAGGAACATGATGGCTTCTCCCACCAAACTGGATCTTAATATTAGTATCGAAAGCAAAGCATCGGTACGCGATACCAATAAAACAGTATCGGTGTAT